TGACGTTTATTGTAGATGGTATCTGAACTTATTCTTCTGGAAATAGTTCATCAAGTATGTTTGTTGCTCATTGTGATACATTAAAAACTGTATCTGCAAATCCGGTCAGTGTCTTGTAATCTGCATATAGATGGTAGAGATATCTGGGCTCACGCATAAAAGATCTTGAAGCTGTTGGGAATTTTTACAAGTCATGTGATAGATAAACATGCATTTGTTTTTCTCATAGCTGTTGTAATTTTATGTCATCCCTTCCGCAGAGGATAGGATCTAGAGAAGCTTTACAAATTTCTGTCAAAATGTTAAATGGTAGCATTGTGACAGATATATAGGTAGGAGGCTAGTGAAGCTTTGCAATCACTATCTCAAGGTTTCTTCAGTTTTTAATATGTGACCCAAATGACCTATGAACCTAACAACTACTCTCTGGAATGAAAAATGTAGGATGCTTCCTCCAGGGAGAGAGAGTGCGCATTCCATTCCAGACGCAGAGAAATTTCCATGTGTAGGTGGCATGTATATGTGAAATTCCCCGTCTGGTTTAGATCCTCCTAAGCATGTTGATTAGTTTCCACATGTGTCAGATGTCCAGCTGCCCCCAAAGAACATGACCCCCTTTTTTGTTAATATCTTAGTTATTGAATAGCTGCACTTAATTTGAAAATGCAGTATATAGTACAAATACAATATTTAAGTAAAGGATGAAACACATAATACAAGTCAACTCATATAAGTTGTCTTGTTATAAATCATATAATCACCTAAGTCGTAAATACACCCAAGTCCCATTCATTTTGCGACCAAAACCTCTTAGATTTCTTTGCACTTGTTGTATTTTACAAATCGGATAAACAGCTAAGTCGCAAAGGTTTCTTGGTGTATATTTTGTAAATCCTAACATAAATCACCTCCTAACTCATATCACCTCCACCTCACAAGCATGGGAAAAAAGGTAATTGTGCACTTCACCATTAGTTTACGGATTACAGAGCAGAAATGATAAATCTAAATGGGCCATCAGACAGAATCAAACTGCGTCTTTGGGGATTTTATGTCTTGGAGATTTCTGATAACCTACTGCACGTACCTGTTTTTCGCAGAGAACATTCTGCTAAGTCATGGTGCCCCACTGAAAACATAGAAAAATACACAAAAACAATAACTGATCAGGACAGTTTGGGTACAGGATGGGGATTAAGAAAAGTCAAAAACTCCTGTTGCAGTTACATTGTGAGTTTTCTTTGCACGCTAATGTTCCAGCAACAAAATCACAAACATAAAAGTACACACAGGAATTTTACAGCACTCTTTAAGTGAGTCATGCAGTAATTATGGGTAAATACTTTTGACATCGATCTTTAAGGTAATGAAAATAAAAGGAAACCCACAAAAACAATAGGTAAGTGGTAATGTTTTGTTCAATCAAGTCAAGCACTTAAGTAGATTATGAGATACAAAATATAGTTCAAGACACAGGGTTATGGGGTAGGAAATAAGGGACACAATTGCTCACATGAAGTTGAAAAAGCACTCAAATGTAATCACTGGAAAGACACTGATGTAAACTCTGTTTTCTGGGGGAAAACCTTGATGCCATCTCAGAACCAAACTCAGGTAGGAGGTGATGTTTTGTAAACTGGGGAGACATACATGGAGCTCTCTTTATATGTTGCTAGATTTTTATTGCTGTTACAAGGAAATTATGTCATTCACTCACCTTTTCAACCATCATTTCTGATTCAAACACAGATTGCCACTTTGCATTTCTTTTTTGAGTTATTGTCTTGCAAATGCCACCAGTGTCTGTCCACGATCAGCACATTTGCTGCCATGATTTTTGTGTTTCTTAAATTCGCTATCATAATTCTCTAAAACCGCTTCATAATTTTAAATCACCTTGATCATACTGCCCTCATTCCTGTTTCCAACCAAAAGTATCCTAAGCTTTTTTCAGAGCTAAATCCTTCCATCTCTAATTATCATCCTCATTAACCTATTCTATACCATGTCCATAACTTTAATATTACTATTACCACATGGCACTATTCAAAAAGAGAAAGGAGTTTCTCCCGGTGTCCTGGCCAACTCTCTCCCAGATAAAATTGATCATTCAATTCATGACTATTTGTAGGACTTTGCTTTATTAAAAATGTGTAATCCTTTCAGTTTGCAGTAAATCCTGGGAAGCGCTTTGAAACATCTTGACAGAGTGATAAGGCTCTATAACAAATACAAGTATTATTATCTTCGCCACAGGCCATTTCACCTACAATGTTTAAAAAAAATACAATGGCTACACTTTTCAGTAAATCCTATGAAGGCACTATATCAAATGCAAGGATTATTTATCGTAACATTTAAATTCCAAAGAAATGTTACTTTGTATTGTTTACTTAAGTTTTCTCCCAACCTTGGCTGAATTTTATTTGTTACTTCATTGAAAATGTAACTAATACTTGTTAAATTGAAGATCAGGTGAAAGATGAAATTGAAGGTTAAAGTCAGCCTACCCTCAGTTTTGTAAGTTGATACACATAAAGCTAATTGAGACTGCTCAGTCAAACTTTTTCTTTTCCTTGCTGCGTTTCACACTGCGTTTCACACATGCAAAAAAAAAATTATGAAAGCCCCAAGTGGCACGTTTATTTGTTGTTATACATGATTTTGGAACATTGTCAAAGTACAGTATCAACCGTTATGTGTTTCACGAAGGGAGTTCACTTTAACTTTAACACCACAAACACCAGAAGCCATTCAGTTTTTTTGTCCAAGCTGACATTCTTCAGATCTGAGCCTCTGAGAGACAGCAGGTTAATAAAATGCTGAGGGGGTGACACAAACTCAATCTCATCTTCACCTGACACCCATACATACACTTTTCAGCAGTACTCACTGGGTAGTCATAGGTAACGTGGATGATTTTTCTATCTCTAGCCCCTGGAGTATCAATTGTAGTGGCCCTACTGTTACCCTGATTTAGATCAGCCAGCTCAGTGCAAGACTGAGGTCAGTATTTTGGATCAGAATAGCTCAGTTTGATCATTTTTGGGGGGTCAGCCAGGTGTCTGACACAGGCGTAAAGCCATCACCATGCTAAGAGTCTCCAAACCAAACTGAGCACTTCCTGCATCCCACCTACACCTTGGAGCCAGTTCAGCTTACCTTCCTCCAAGGAGGATAGTCACTAGCTCAGTTTGATCGGTATAGCTCAGTTAATCAGTATAGCTCAGTTTGAACTTTGGCAACAGTTCCCTGTCAGGCTAGTGGGTAAAAGCATTTTCAATGCAGCACTATGCCAGACAGACCAGAAGTACACAACTTTGAATCCTGTTTTACACAGAGTTGGCTGATGTCAGCTGGAGCAATAGCTCAGAGCGCATCAATGGCTTTGATATCTGTTAAGTTAGTGAGCTAGTGATCAGCTACTTTTTAAAGCTATTCTGAAACCTACCCTACGAGAAGGAATGTGTGTGGGCAGCAAAAGAGGGCAGTTTGGATTTGGCTGCAAAGTTCCATGATGATAAGAATTATGTATGATGAGTGGTCACTTGGGCAATACATCAACAGTAAAAGAAAAGCTGTAAAAACACCTTCTGGAGAGGAAGACCAGAGGAGAAACATTGGCAGAGAATCTGCAAGAGAAACTGCTGGCAGATGAATTCGTATTTCTGCTAAGCATTGATGATGTGTAAAATCTTTTTATAACAAAAATGGGCATAATAACTATATGTGGATGAAGAACAATTCTTTCCAGCTTTACTCACTTAACCTCTGTGTTGTCTTCATGCCACAGAGAATGAATATCAGCGATATGCAATAATTTAGAGTAGTGTTACTGATAGCAACAACATATCACAACATGGAGAAAAACTGGAATCTGCCATAATGTTTGCAGTAACACAATTAACGAAGCCTTTAAATAGTGCAGCCTTTATAGTAGAATCTATGTATTAAATAGTGCTGAGGGATGGTTGGTTTACATTTCAACTCCTCCCTGTTAACCAGACATTCCTGTTTCTTGAATGATATCTCTCACCCAATCGTTTTCAACTCAGACTACATACACTACTGATCATTGGCCAGTTTATGGGATTGATAAAGTGCTCCTCAGGAAATTGGTACCATTACGGGGGTCTAGTAGTTACTAGCAGTAAGAAGCTCCTCACAGCATAAACTGCATGTTCTGCAATAAATCCTTATACCTTACACCAACTCACAAGTCTTCTGCTAAATCTGAGATTATCTTGGCATCACCTCAGCTCATTTCCTGTACCTTTTATGTCACGAGGACCTGATTCCATAGTGAGTTTCCTGTAAGACTATCGATGTCCTAAGGTGTTCCTTTTAACACTCTGCATGTGAATAAACATCATACTTCAGGTTGACCAAGAAATCTGATTTGAAAGCAATCTATTTAGGATAGCTACTGCTTTCAATTTTTATTGCTCGCTTGCACGGTCAACTGTAGTAAGGTATTAAGGAGTGTGCCTTGGGGGTCTGAACTAGGACACCTGCTGTTCATTGTACATAATAATGGCCTGGATTCGCAGACACGGTGTAAGGTTGATAAATTTGCAGATGACACCGAGTGTGGAGTCAGCAAAGATCCTACAAACAGAGTTTGATAGGATGTGCACGTGGGCTGATGACTGGCAAATGAAATTTCATACAGATAAATGCAAGGTATAACATGTAGGAACCAAGATTAGGAAACACAAGTAAATAATAACAATCATCTTATAAAGTTTGCATTTGATATAGCGTCTTATCATGCTTTTGCAATGTCTCAAAGCGCTTCACAGGATTTACTATAGTGTGATGTGTGGTGAATTTTCTGGATGAATATTGCTATCAATTTTCACACAGCTATGTTCTACAAACAGCCATGGAGTGAATGAACAATTTTATTTGAGGGATTGTTAGCTAAGACACTGGGATAAACTCTTATTTTATTTTAAATGGTGCCATGGGATCTTTAACGTCCACTTGGACAGGGAGAG